GGTATGTGTGCTGCTGCCAGCATCCATGAAGGGGTGTGTGTGGGGGTGTCCATGCATGGGGGTACTTGTTATGCAGTAGTATTGGACTGCCAAAAAGACCAACAAGCGGGTCCAATATCAAATCAAGCCTGAAGTTTCTTGGGAAGTTAAAATCATGAAACTGAGGCTGTCCTACTTAGGGTACCTCATGAGAAGGCAGGAGGGGTTCTTTGGAAAAGCCAATGATGCTGGGAAAGGTCGAAGGCAGCAGGAGAAGAGGAAGACCCAATAGGAGATGGACTGACTCCCTCAAGGAAGCCATAGGGTTGAGTTTATAAGAGATGAGTAGGTCTGCTGAGGGCAGGACATTCTGGGCATTAACAGGGTCACCCTAAGTGTACAGAGGGGGTGACCTGAGGGCACCCAAAAGCAGCAGCAGCAGCAACCAGAACCACTACCACCCCACACTTCAGCGGGGGTGTGGGAAGCAGTAGCACAAGTGGGATTTTGTGCTTCACGGAAACCCCACCCCAGAACGCCTCCTGCTCCTTGGCTGGTCTTCGGCTTTCTCCTGGAGGGAGGAGGCTGGGCCTTGGAACTGAGCACAGGGGGAGGGTTTTCAACGGGTCACCTCCTGTCTGCTGACGGGCACGGTGGGGCCCACTCAGAGGCTGTCTCATGGGGCGGATGAGCAGCCTATGGTTGTCGCTGTGCCAAGTGCCGCCCCACAGGAGAGCCATGGGAGCCCCGACAGGTGTGGAAGGAAGGCTAGCCAGTCCCGACCAAACCTGGGGGGCCCCCCTCATGCCTCTTTTCCTCCTTCCTGCCCTCCCTCCCTCTCTCCCCCTTTGTATACCCTAGCCTCAGTCCACAGATCAGTCTGCCCAGACACAAGCCAGGCCGATCCACCTGCGGGGCACTGCCTCGGTCCCTGCTCAAGCCAGCCGGGCACGCGTGGGATGCCCACGACTCGGGCAGCCGCCCGGTGGCAACGGAGGCAGGAGCCATGGACTGATGGACGGACCGACGGATCCGGGAGCCTCGGCCTCATGTGACTTGCAAGCCAGGTGCTGTCCGCTGCTGCCCGTAGTCGCCTGGCCACGTAGCAAGGCGGGCGTGGGGGAGGGGGCGGGCTGACCGGCTAGCAACTGTGGCGCTCCCTCCGGACCCTCCAGGCCTTCAAGGCTCCAGGCAGAAGCTTTGGCCAGCTTCCAGCTTGATGCTCCCCTCTGATTTCGCTGCCCCAGGCCTGCCCGCAAGGAGACCGCCCTGGAAAACTGCCTAAGGTTTGGGTCTCCACACCATTTTCGGAGGATCCCTCCCGGCGGGGACAAGGCATGGGGCCGAAGTCCCACTTTCCCTCCCTCTTGGCAGACTTGGTTCGCTGCCTCTGAAGCGCCGGCTTCGATGGGCGCTGGAGCGCTGTGAGCGAGGGGCTGGAGGTGGGTGCGTGTGTGTTGCCGGGTCGGCTCAGGAGGTGCCTGTCCTCCTGCTGCCACCACTGGTGGGGACCTGAGGCGCGCCGGACCCACCACCAACCGTCCTCCCTGCAGGGACAGCACCAGGCTTGCAGCTCGGGCCCCGCCGCTTCTTCTTGGGAGCTCGAAAGGAGGAGCCGCCACATGGGTGCCTCTGGAGCATGCGCAAAGGGGTGGGGGAGCGCTCACGCCGGTGCTGGCATGTGTGCACGTGTGCAAAGCAGCTGTGGGGAGGGGAGTGCATGCGGGGGGTGCGAGGTCTGTCTTCGCAGCCCAGTCCCGCTCAGGCCACGTACAGACCGACACCAGGTTGTGCGAGGTCTGTCTTCGCAGCCCAGTCCCACTCAGGCCACGTACAGACCGACACCAGGTCGCGGACCGGGGGTTGATGACCTCTGTTCTAAGGTGTGCGCATAGAGCATGGGCAACCGGCAGCCAGTATGTATATGTCCCATTTTGGATGAAGCCCCCCCCCCACCATCCACAAGCGCATGGGGCAAGGCTCCTGCATAAGCAGGAATGAAAATTAGAGGGAATGTTGCTCCCAACCCTTGGCTCTGCAGGCAGGTGTTCTATCTCCATGAGCTATCCAGTCCGCCAGCCATAACTGCATTTTCTAAAGGCAGGGGATAGGCCATATTCACTTGCTTTCTGGTTCTCTACTGAACTGATCTGAAATCAAAGATATCTGTTCTTTTGGCTGAAAGTATGCTAAAAAACAGCTTTAAAAACTGCAGTGTTGTGTATTATACAATAAAATCATTTTCAAGTTCCTGTACTTACCCATGTGGACAATAGAGAAAAAGTGCATCTACATAAACAACTTTTCAGAGTTCCCTTAGATATTCTTATTATATCTGTACTGAACACTTATTTTATTTGCTTTGTATTATATTTGCTTTACATTATATTTATCATGCATACAACTCTTAGAGGTTTTTAACCTTTAAAGGCAACTGAAAAGTAATTTTAAATAAGAATAAAGATGAATAATTTTATTTTGACAATGGCTACAGGGAGGCCTAACCCTTAAGAATGTTACCTGCAGAACTCCTAGACAACAAAGGCACTCCAAAGAACAGATAAGAGGGAAAGCAGAAAAGAATAGGTGCATCTAAAACATAATAGCAGACTTCAGTAAAAGGAGCAAAAACAAATAAATGTGTAAGCCTTTAATGCGAGGGTGTCTGTCCTTGGGATTTTTTTTTCAAATCATGGGAATTAGGGGTCTCATTAAGAGTACCCCCACTCCATCTCACCCCCACCAAATGCATTCTTGGTGCCTATGCCGAACATAAGGATTTTACAAAACCTCTCACAGAATCAACGGAACATATAGTTCATATCAGCTCAAATAATATATGCCGTTCCACCCTCAAAGGTGCTTTAGATGTAGCATAGTAAT